GTTCCTTTACCCAGTGCCTCCTGGTCAACAGGGGAGGCCTACGCGTTCCGCATCTCTCTCACGGGAAACGCGACCCAGAAAAATGACACCAGAATGTAAATGAGTAATGAACCTGCAGTTTAGGAAAAGAACTTGGATGAGTTATAATGATTCACTAAGGCGAACTAGAAGTAGCCCTTCCATACATAAATCCAAAATCTGGTCCCGGTCCCGATGGCATGACATACGCTTTCTTAGCTCACATGGGGGCCGGTCTTAGGATTTAGCTGCTAAAATGTTTTAATCAATCTTGGGCAGATGGAGAAGTACCCGGTGATTGAAAACGGGCAAGAAGTGTTCTTTTACTGAAGACAGGAAAGTCGGGACCGCGCCATGTGGCATTTGAAAACCGTGCAGAAAAATCGATGGGAAAGATTATTGATAGTCACTTAGCATATCTCGAGGAACAATATGTGTGCCCCAAAAGAATGTATGGTATCCCGAGAGGACGGAGTTCAATAGGTCATGTTCTCGACCGTGTTAATTTTGTAGAAGAGGATGAGTGCCATGTAAAATCACGATCGCTGCTTTACTGAACGTGAACGGGGTATTCGATCGTGTCATACACGATGCTATCTTACAAAGGCTACGGGAAGTTGGTTTGGAAAGCGGTTCCTACGCATAGGTAAAAAGTTACCTTTCAAAAGTTGCAATCTTTATGATATCACGAGAGCGTAAATCCGTCGTTCACTACTTCACTCGAGGTGTTCCTCAGGGAGGCTTCTTAGACTTAACACTATTTAATATGACACTAATTTGCCGTGATCAATTGCTACTATTCCGCCTTAATTTGTAATTGTTTGCAGATATATCCAGATATAGGCATCCTGTCTACTCGGGTGAAAGCAAAGGCAAGAGTACAAATATATTTCAAGGGGCTCCATAAATACCTTTGCTACTGAGGCCCTGAAATTTGTCACCAAATCATCTGCCATCGCGTTTAGCCTACGTAAAGTGGAGAGATATCCGCTACGTTTATGCGGCCAAACACTTATCAACGTAACGGGAAAAATGTTCCTTTGTTTATAAGCAGAGGATAGACATGGTCACATCATATTACGTAGTGCAAAGCAATAAGCTCACAAACTTTGTCGGCCATTTTTTTTTTATTAGCGGCACTATGTTGAGCGCGACAGTACCGGCTCTCCTGCGGTTAAATCGGGCTCTATTACTAGGTTTGCTTCAAAAGTGTCTCCCCACTCTTTATGCGATGTTTCAAACAAATCCAAAGAAAATGAAAAGAACAGAAGCACGTGCTCTTCGCGTTTAACTTGTCTTGGAATTCTGGTTGGTACTTCGGTCATGGTCACAATTGCAGAGGCTCAAGAAACACGACTAGAATATCTATATATTATAAAAAGTGAGAGCCAATTTAAGACTTAGTGCAAAACATGGCAATTCTCTTTTGCCAATAATGACTTAAAAGGACTATAATCAAGTCCCTCAAGAGCTCTGTCCCAAATGGTACCCTCTGTTCCCGATGATCTTGCGTCATCTAAAATTTCAAAAGCGCCACCATGGAGAGTTCCTGAGCCTCATGTCACAGTTGAAAAAGGTAGAAAGAAAAAGCAAACACGCCAATATTTGCGATTATGCAACTTAGTTTATATAACATTGTGTATAATCACGCTTCAACGAGTCATGTTTATACCAATGGATCTACTACTTTCGATAGTTCAACACTGTTGTCTGTTATTGTTTCAAAACATCTCACAACGACCACGTCTAAGCTGTCGGGACAAGAAGCCGCACGGCACGTGGAGAGACGGCGCCGCTAGTGGGAAGAAAAGAAAGAAGGGGAAGACAGAAAGACAAGGCTCGTGGCGGGGCGAAGCGCGAGGCAGAACAAGACCAGGACTCAAGGCGAAAAGTCGAAGACATCGAGCCCACAGAAAAGAGCCGCACCACTGCCAACCTTGGCCACCCTCCGAGGACTCATCGATACATGAGCATCGATTAAACCTTTCTGTGATGATAGCGCTTCCCCGTCTAACCTCCTCGGAGCGAAAGGAATTCGGCCTGACCGGGCAATATGGACGGGCGACCCACATGACTGGCGCTTCCAACGTGGGGCCCGATCAGTCTGCCGCTCTTTCTGTTCGCTCCCAGGGAGTCCCACGAATCGCAATATCTAAATTTAGGATTCCTTTGTTTTTTTACAGCGGTGCTGTTAAGAGCTAATTTTCCCAGTGTCGTGTCTGAGGGCAAACAAATGCCGACACAAAACTTTGGACATTTACTGCCATCTATAAACGACGGCGGCAACCAGACAACGGGCTTGTCGGTTGTCTGGTCGTCGCCGTTATTTATTGATGGTGGCAACTTTTCTAGCCTTTCTACTCTGGCTTGCCGACTTGCGGCAGGCCATTACTTTATTCCCACCATAGTATAGCTTCACTGGTCTCCCTTCTTCAACAGATTGGAAAGGCGGGAAGTTTTCCTATAGAAATTTTGTTACCCCACTGGACACCAGTGACTTTAATGTTCTGCCGCCATGTACAGGTCTCGGAATAAGGCCACCTCGCCAGAGGCCTCAACCCGGTCAGTGGCAGACATTGACTCGGACATGGGAGAAGGCACGAGTAGGCAAGCGAGCGTTGAGGCAGCGCTAGAGTCCCCAATTCCAGCGGTGAACAAGGAAAACACCAGCGATCTAATGCACGCCATGACGGCGATGTTCGCGACGTTTTCTTGACAGATGGGTTTGGCCCCAGGGTGATGAATCCCGTGCCTACGCCCGTGCCCCGCCCGCGGTTGAGTGTGCTGACGCCGGCCTATTCGGGCTACTCCGACGGAACATCGGTACACGATTTCTGCAGGATATAGACTCGTACACTCCCGGGTCGAGCGCGTCCGGAGTGATGGCCCTGATACGGATTATCCCAATCGCGTTGACGGGCAACGCAGCGCGTTGGAGACGAATGCAGAGGCCGTTCCTTTCAATGGAAGATTTCCGTGCACGGTTCAGGGAGAAATATCTGCCTCCCGATTATGAGATACGGATCAGAGATGAGCTAGTCATCCGTACTCAACACCCGGACAAGAGCCTCATAAAGTACATCCGCGATCTCCAGAAGCTCTACTCCAGAGCCGAACCTACAGCGTCAGACGCCGAGAAGGTAGCTAGGGCGATCCGTTAGTGCCACCTTAGCTTTAAAACCTAGTTGTGCGGACGTGACTTCACTGATCTGGAAACATGGAAACACTTGCCAGAGAGGCGCGCACCATTCAGGCGATCTTGCTCGCAGAGTTGAAGTATCGCCCCCCTGCACGCGCAGAGGAATCTCGGGAGCCGGGTTGCGATTGGACAGGACGAGACGCGGGCGCTTGCGATGACCCACGTATGCCGTACGTGGCCGTTACAGGACACAGGAGTGGCGAAACTGCTGTAACCCGCGTTTTGGATCCCTTCACTTTTCAACAGAGGCGCAGAGCAGCCAACGTGGGCTTTTCCAGGACGTGGCGTGTGCAACCGTCTTGTGCGTAAAGAGGGGAAAGAGTGTCAAGGTTGTTACATATATTGATTGTATATGAAACGCAGTACTTTCCTTTCAACCATTTCCAGTTTGTTTACACTCTGATGCCTCGGTAATATGGACGCCTCTGTTCCTCCCAAATATGTTATAATGTGAGTTGTCCATAATAACAAGCCAAATATGCATGCATTTTCCCAGTTTGCCCTCGAAAAGGGTGTCTATATAGCGGGGCATTCATATTAACGGGGTCTGTATTAAGGAGACATGACTGTATCTCCTTGTGTAGGATAGTCCCAAACGGCTGATACGTACTCGAGTACTGCGCGAAGCAAGGTTTTGTTTATGCAATCAGCTTAGTTGATCTGGTGCAATGCTTTAGATTGGGTTTTAGGTGCCAAAGTTGGCCTTGGACTTAGCGTACAGTTGTATCAACATGAATGCTCCACCATAGGTCCGCTGAAAGTGTTACGCCAAGGCATTTAAAGTTCGAGAGGCTTGGGAGAAAGTTGTTTATTGTTTAGCAAAACGTAAACGGACACTTTTTTCTAGCTATGGTCACACTGACATTTTTGGTTGGGTTAAATGACCTTTGCCAGGCAGAGCACCAGTTTGAGAAATCCTGCAAAGGTTTAGTGAAATAAAGCTTGTCTTCTGGTGGTTTTATATCGCGGAACAAGGTACAGTCGACCGAAAACTTTCTTAATTTCGCTTTAACACGGCAACCCAGGTCGTTCATAAAAATAAGCCATAAAAAAAGCCCCAGGACAGACCCCTCTATATGGCGACTTTCCGCACGTTCGTGTCTGCTGTCTTAGTTCAATTTATTGTCTCATGTCACTATATACATCATGATTCCGTTTTCCCATATTTTGAGAACTGATACGCTATCGGAGGCGGCCTCTTCTACTGAAGAAGAAAGAACAGTGTAGCCAATATAGTTCGGCCGTGACAATTCCTCGTATCTGTCTACTGCTTTGGCTGTTCGGATAATGCGGCAACATTATCCACAATACATAACGGCGGGGCGGGAGACAAAACACCAGGTAAGCGACCTCACGCACCGATAATGTAACGATAAGAGAGCACAGAGCTCTAAAGCGGGTAGGCAAGAAAAAGCTCCTCTTGTCGAAGTTCATCATTCGCACAACCTTCACAGGCAAGCGCCGTCGAGACCGACTCCACTTTTGAATAGCCGCTCCCGCCATTCATCTAGGTGATTTTTCACCGTTAAAGTCAAAGAAGGGTAGAACACCATGTCGACCTTTTCAAAAAACAAGATGAAATCCGCCGTTGAGCTCAGAACGATGCCGCACGAAACCCTGTGCGATGTCTACGTCTGTTTCGAAGACATCGGGCTTACAAGCGCCAGGTTACTCTTTTCTTCCACTCGGTCCTTTTCTAGCTCATCCAAATGTTCTCTGTGGACGTGTCTCGAGCACTGGTCGGTCCTGATGTGTTATGATGACCTAACGTTTCTTTGCGAAGCCACCAAAGTTGGAGGCAAGCTGAAGTCGTACTTGCGTCTGTTGCCTGAAAAGAATCAAACGATGTGGGAGCGGATGACCCCAAAGATAAGCAACATTCTTTCATACTGAGTAGCTTCGTCGCAGCCAAAGTTGCGCAGGCAAGGGAAAGCATAACCAGTTAATGAGTTACGTCTGCTTCATAATGTGCATGGCCTCTTGTCAGGGGTGCACAACGTAGCATATACACGCGGCATAGCACCGTATAATATTTCAACTCGAAGTTAAAATATTTAAGAAATAAAAAAGAAAGAACTGTTTGTGCAGTCACGTCTCATTGCTGAGTCAGTTCACGAAAACGATCCAGGCATAAATTCAACCCTGAAAAATTCTGTCTAAAAAAATTCTAGGTGGTATTGGTGATGTAAAAAACAAAAAACGCAGGGATTACCCTTTCCAAGATAATTTTGCTATAGCTATTTATTTCATTTAATTTTTTATGAACATTTCGATTTTGCGGCAAACAAACCCCAAAGGGTAAAAAACAATTTTTTTTCGAAAAGCTTTGAAACAAGATTGTGAAATAAACATCGCTTTTAGAAGGTAAGCATATTCTCGTAAATTACTCACTATGTTTTGTCACGCATTTCCGAGTGTTTTGAGGGTTCAGGCAAGTTAAATATTGCCGCGCTCAGGGCCCAGCAAACAACGCTTGGTCACGGAATTTCAGAAGATTCCCGTTTATCTTTACTCGGGGCGTAATTTTCATCCTTTCGCCATTGCTTCTTGTACTAGAAAGTGCCTGTTCATTCTCGCCCCGAGCCCGCGACGCTCGAAGCTTCTTTGCCGAACATTTCAGGTGATGACGAACTTTTGACAAGAAGCAAAAAAAATAAAGTTTTTTAATTAATATAAAATTTCACATTAGACTAGTACAATGATGGTACTATTTGTATTCAGCTCGTTCTAAACTTACTTAATTGTTGATAAAGAAGGCCGACATGTTTGTGCTAACATAATCAGTTCGAATATTACACAACTGAAATATTGCGTTACCTTATTTAATATCAGCTGACCAGTCTGGGAAGCATTATGATGTCAATTTAAACAAAGAATAGACCCCTTTCAAAAGTCACGTGTTGAATATTAGACGGTCGGAACCACTGCACAATGGCGGAGCGACGGCATCGAGAAACGTGCAAGTCATTCCATAAAATAGCGATCGCTGGAGCGCGGCCAACATTCCGAGCCGACGAGCCAATCAAACAGCGTCAAAAGTGCAACGTCACTGCGATCATCACCTTTTTCTGTGGGTGTGTTTTCTCCAGTGTGCCGTGACGTTGATGTTTTAGTCCGCCATTGTGCAGGGATTTCACAGCTGCTAACAGAGTACCGTATTTCGAAAGGGGTCTATTAGCGTTGATTGTTATGGCACCTAAAATCTTCGAAGGCGTTCTAACAAGAAAAACAAATTATCATCTCTATTTATAAAATTATTATGTACCCAATACGATTGTTCGTTTGTTTATTTTTCGAGGAAAACTGCAGCAAACGGCAAAATAAAGATAAATTCACATTGTTTATTTCAGTGCTCACTCACCCATAAGCCATGGGCATATATGCACGTTTCCATTTCAGGTCTTAGCATTAGATGAGCTATAAAATCAAGAAATGTAAAAACCCGTGGTCGCATTAATTTAACTTCTCAAGTTTCATGTTTGCAGGTGCACCTTGGCAAGTATAACCTTCCAAAGGCCCGACTTATGGAAGTCATGGCACTCTTGAATGAGAACGAAGATTACAACCTGTTCACAAACAACTGCAAGCACTGGACGAAGAAACTGCTGAAAGAACTTGGCATAGACTTGGACAATGCGTCCTTCATGAAGACGCCGAATTTCATCGATCGCTGTTTGCGCTGGCTAATGGACTTGGAGTCCATCTAGCTCTCCTTCAATTGCACGTTTCTCTGACGAGTGGCAAAGATGATGGAAACCAGCCCAACTCCGGTGCGCCACTCAGCGGTTTCATGTCAAGATTACGAGTTGGTCTTAAAGAAAACGTAAACGAAGGACTGATATCGACATCACTCCTTCGGACGCATGTAAATTGTCAAACTAGAGTTGTAAGAAATATAAGCGGGAACAGCCCATCGGCCTTGTTGCTGTGACTGCAGAGTCCACAACCGTCATAATCTCAATTTCTCAGAGTTAAAAGACAGAAGCCCAAACTTTAAGTTTCAGCCCTAGTTTAGAGCAGAACGTTAATAATGACAGAAAAGTGCTCCAAATATACCGTGAGAGGCTGTTCTCTCTCATATATCTTACGTCTGTTCAGTGGCTGGCGGTAAGAGTTGGAATCTTTGAGCGTCAGCCAGGCAGTAAAAGCCAAGCAGTCCACTCTCTGTCTCAGCTTTAGTCCAGACGTAGCCGACACTACGAGTACGAACTGACGGAATCAGTCAGACAATGCTAGAAGCGCACCATGATGGCTTTCTGTGTGTTTTTGGACGTGTTCTATTATCAATGAATATATCATAAACAGGAAAGGACCAGTGACTTCCGCTTTGGACGCTGTCTGATTTGCCCCATTAGCTCCTAGCGTCGGCTGCGCCTGGATTTAGGCTGAAACGAAGTTTACAAGCAGTAAGCAGCAAAAGCTACATGAAAAACAGCATGAGTTGCAAAAGAAGGCACTTAGAGCTATAGGAGATGTCCCGTTTGACTTTCATACCGCCAGCGTATTAAAAACATTTTATGTCATAAATGTCCACACATTGTATGATTACAGGCTCGCCACTAGCCTAAAAGTGGAGCAAATTAGAAATACGAACTTTTTTTTATAAATCTTGCACAAATCTCGAAAGACATTCATAGTTACCCTACCCGCGGAGCTGAATGTTGGGAGGTGGTCACACCGAGAACAAACTATGGCACACAAACGCTGAAATGCGTTGTTCTTAAATTATTTATTCTGTTTTTAGCTAAAGGTATTGATTGGGACAAGTTATCGTTGAGCAAAGTGAGGTCACCCTTTTGTCCCATATAATACACCCCAAAACTTGAAATCGCCGTACAGCGCTCTATAGTCGATCAGACGGCCCCGAATTTTTCGAGGCGCTTGATAACGGTGGGATATAACTTATTAAATTGTTAAAGTATGTATCAAAGACCAAAGAAAAAAAAACAAGCAGTTTTTGCAGTAGGGCCCAGAAAATTCCGATAATCTTTTTCGTAGTCAATAATACGTACATTAGCTATCTTAATAAGTTGCACCATCATGGCTATCAAGCCCCTCAAAAAATTTTGGGTCGCCTGTTCGATTATAGGGCGCTGTACGTCGAATTGAAATTTTTGGGTGTATTATATGGGACGAAGGGCGTAATAATACACCTTTTTTTCTGAGTGTAAGGTGTTGTGATTAACATGTTGTGATGGCGATCATTTTCTGTACATTTGTGTTTCTCTTTTGATTGCTGTATTATTTCCCCACTCTGTCGCTGCTGCTGTAGGCGGTCAGGAACCCGCGTCAAGCTGTACCGCAGAGCTTTTTTTCCTGATCGCCACCATCATCTTATGGTGGAAATAAACACTATTATTAATATTATTATTAAGTGAAACGTAAGAGCTCGGACTCTAAACTCGTCAAATACAAAGCAGAGGTCGAAGCTCACGGCGCGCGCCAATTGGACTATCGCGACAATGACGCAGCGCTTTTGTCGCCGAAGGCCAATCGAACCGCTTCGCAAACTTTCGGCTCCAACTTTGTGTTTGGCGATTTTAAAGTCCCTGTAGTGGCTGTCTGTAAATTTGTCGACGCGCAACCCAGCACCTCCCAGACAGCTGCAAAGCCTGCGTTTCATGTCGCATGACGTCACGTCCGGGAAGCCGGAACGGGCGCTGATTGGATGCGAGTGCCGCGTCAGCGTTGTCGTGGGACTATGATAGGAGGCGAGTCCCCACGCGAACGCTTACGCGGCACTCGCGTCCAATAGTCCTATTGCTATATTACTCAAGCATCAAGGAGAATGCAGGGATTGATGTTCCACGCGCCGCACGTGCTGGCCTCAGCGGCAGTAACTTTTCTAAAGCAAATCCCTAAAACAAATGGCATCTTGCACGAGCGTTCGTCAACACTTTATTTTGGGCATTTACTTCGAACCTTTTATACGGGGAAGGCAAGGCCAAGATTCCGAGACATCCGGGCTAGTTTCAAAGCTTCCCACCACGCGGCGCTCAAAGACCAACCTGCAGAATATTTTTCAACCAGAAAAAAGTTCCCCTCGACACACTTCCCATTTCCTCCTCTCCCACAGTTGACTTGACGGCGGGGAGGCTCCTTTTGTTGCTGCATCTCGGGGCCAGATAAGCCAAGCTAAGCGCATAATGGGCGATTTGCGGCGGGAGGCACAGCGACCCCTTTCCTCCGGCGATACCAGAGAAGCGCCCGAAACCGAACTCTCCTTTCTGCAGCATTTCAGAGCCTAGCCTCTCGGTTTTGTCTCTGAATTTTTGTTTTGTTTTGCGATAAGCATGCTTGGCTACTTCGAGCATTTGACTGCTTCTGCCGTCCATGTAAAGTGACCCAAGGCCATGTGAGGATGGGCATCGGCTAAGAGCCATCGTCGAAGTACCCTAGAGTTCGAAGGAACTACCGCATTTTCCGGACTATAGCCCGGACCCGGTGCATAGTCCGCAGGGAAATACTTTGCGTCAAAAATAAAAGTGCTTGCTTAGATAGTCCGCACCCGGTACACAATCGGCACCCATTGCGAAGCCCGCACTTAGCACCTAGTCCGAACGTAAAAAGTACCATACTCAGCAGACCTTGACAAACGCCTACTGTATTAGCTCACGATGAAGCTTTATCGTACGTAAATTAACATTAGTATAGTCCGTTAGTCATAAAATCCTTTACGATTGTCATAGTGAAGTATCTAGAAACATTAAATCATTGTATTGTACGCACCTGTAGATAGTCCGCATCGGGTGCATTTTCAACTTTTAAACTTGTATAGTCCGGAAAATACGGTACTACAGAGTGTATTGTGACCCTGGGTACTTGAAGAGGAAGTGGCGAGCCTTACAAAAAGTGTTTACGGGACGGGAACTCATGCCAGCGTGCGTACTCTAATATGTCCGGTGCTTTTACCCCAACCCACATGGTGCTGCCTAAATGGGACACGTTGAAATAAACAGTGCTGGAGGCTGTCAGACCGTTGTTTTTGTTCTGAAATTTGACCGAAACTCCAAATATTGAGATCTGCAAAAATCCATAATACGAAACAGAGCCTTTTTTTTTTCCGGTTCCTTGCATTTTTATATTGCGTTTTGAGATCCTACTAGTGACCAGTGCCGTGTTTAGACGTCATATTGCACGTGGCCACAATGGTGACTAGAACTCCACCTTTCCGTGAGCAAAAGTTTAAAGTACAAGTTCACCAGTCAAATTTTGGGGGTGTAATTATAATATTGCGTTAATTTTTCTCAACTCAATATCTCTTCTCGAAATGGTTAATCACTTTAGTACAGTCGCCCTCTTGAGATTTCTGGGCGAGAGATGGCAAAAGCATTTTTCAAAACTAACTGTTTTACATTACCGATTCCTTTCTTAAAAATCAGTAAAATTTAATTATATCACATAACAAATTACTGATTACTAAAACTATGGGCATTCTCTTCGTATTACATTTAATTTTTGCAGGTAGAGTTTGCTTGTCAATAATGAAATATCAGTCTGCTGTTGCAAACAGTGCAATGTAGGCGCAATATATTACTGTCATGGCGCAACCTTGTTCAGAAAGCCGCCGATGACAACGAGGTTTTACGATGCGCTAGTAACTCCAAAGTATCTGAATGAGTGGTGTCGCCATGCTGTACTACAGCGCAACATATGAGATGAGACCATAACCGTGCTCTCGCAAGCTCGTTTTTAATAAAAAAAGAAGATAATATTTTTTTCTTTAATTCTCTTCTTGTGCTTGTAAGTTGCAACACAGCAAGAGCTACTCAAGTCTATTGTAATGTATCACTGATATCCGATAAGCTGAGGTGGCGTAACCTGTGCAGCATAAAATGCTTTGACGGAATCGTTTGTTCTTAGGTTCACGCGTGAGGTGCGAGCTAACCTAACCTATACCTACAGCCAAGAATAAAGGCTCCGAGCATTAATTGGAATGCGACGGAAGCACTTCGACTTTCCAGACTGCCGTGACTTTATCTGGAATGACTTCTCTAATCGAGGTGAACACACGCACACATATACCGGAGGCACTGTTGAAGTCTCAGGGGCTCGGGTTTGCGTATAAATTATCATTTGCGCCGACACCCGGTTTTCGCTTTGCTAAAATATTTAAACAACTGCCAGTCTTGAACGGGTCAACAGAAGAACTGATCGTTTTCACGTAGTTGGGTTAAAACTATGTGGTTAGGCTACTGTATGGGTGCACTACTAAAACCAATTATAATGACATCTAAAGCGACAATCAGTTTCTTGTGTGCTTTATCTTGTAAATAACACTTTTGCGATTGACAAGTACTTTTGCGCGCGTGCACCGTCGGCAAAAGTCTCACCATTAAATGATCTCCCTTCTTTTTCTTTTCTTTTTTTCTGAGCGAGAAAAAAAAAGGGGGGGGGGGGAGAGAAGGTTGTTGAGGGTAAAAAATGTTGGAGATATGTGCTCTAATTGTCATGATTGTGCATTTTTTATCACCTAACTTTACAGCTCCCACATGAACGCGACGTCCCATGATGTCAACCGCAGAAACAGTTTGATCACTACTCGTACATTAGCCACTGCATTCGGCTTTCAGCCCAGGTTATCGTGTACGTTCGTGCGTGTGTGCGTGCGTGTAACGTTCATATTTGTATCTGATGTTTGCGAGTGCATATCTCGTAATATTTTCTAGATATAGGGTTGAATTTTTTTTATATTCTTTCCGGAACGGTAAATCATCTAAAAATATTTTTTTACTCGAGTTTTATAACTAAGAATATTTACAACGCTTCAAACGTGCTTCAATGGGAAAAGTCCCCCAACTTCAACGTGCAATTAAAAGAAAACTTCGTTTT